ACGAAAAAGCACTATCAAATTACCTGAGGAAATTGATCAATCAAAGAAATCTATGCCAGTTAAGGATCTGAATAATAGCATAATACTTTCAGATGCCAATTAAAAAAGTAAATCATGACAGAACACCCATTGAAAGAGAATTTGGTATTAATGAGAATGTGTATCTAAGAAACTATGGGAGAAAGGAAAAATGGATACCAGGTCAAATTGTTCAATGTACAGGACCTGTGTCTTATAAAGTAAAAACAAATGATGGACTTATTGTCCGTAGACATGCAGACCAGTTAAAAATAACTTGTGCAGATAATAAGTGTGAATCTGTCAATCCCACCAAATCTGATCAGTTCACACCAACTCAGTTTGTTCCACAACCAAGTTCTGTTGATATGAGTGAACCAAGTTGTCTGGAGTCAGAAAATGTAAATTCTGGAGTTAATGATTTAAATCCTAGACCTCCTGAGATAGAGAATCCAGATGGTCAGAATCTTGAGTCACCAAATCAAAAGCCACTGAGAAGGTCAAGCAGGACAATCAAAGTCCCAAATAAGTTAGACCTATGATTTTAAAGGTCAAAAGGACTTTGACATCATTGTGTTGTATCTTGATTATGTTGTAGCATATTGTGCATTGTTTGTAAGGATGTAATCTACCATAGTGTTCATGTTACAATATAATTGGTGATTTTAGGATACTATCAATTGTTCTATTGAGAGATGTGTTATTGTGTTCTAAGGGTAAAGGGATGTAATAGATTGAGATAATTGTGAGGTCAAGGGAACTCACTCTTCTGTATTAGTATTATATTTATATTGTTATCTTGAGTGATGTCCCTTACATGTTGTTATCTATAAATAGTTGTCGCTCGCCACTTCCTTCCTCTCTTTGCATCATGGCTGTCTGTAAATAAAAGGCTGTTAACACCAATGTGGCTCCTCGTCAATCTATCACAATACTGATTTTAAGAATATTGGTTGTGCTGACTAAATACTGATTTTAAGAATATTGGTTGTGCTGACTAAATACTGATTTTAAGAATATTGGTTGTGCTGACTAAATGCTGATTTTAAGAATATTTGTTGTGCTGACTAAATACTGATTTTAAGAATATTGGTTGTGCTGACTAAATGCTGATTTTAAGAATATTGGTTGTGCTGACTAAATACATGTTGATGGAGCCAATTAGGTTTTGCCTATGATCATTATATTTATAATGTAGGTTTTAAAGCTTAAAGGTGATGATATTAAATAATTTGTTGAATACAATTTTCAGATGATTAATTAATAATTAATTTTTATTGTTTTCATATTTCTTTTTTTCAATTTAATTTAGCATTTTATACCTATTAAAAATGTTGGTTTGTCAAATTGTTACTTGTAAATATTTAAATTAACAAGATAACTCTGCAGAAATTTTCATTCAGTTAACTTTTGATATGAGTTTTGTGTTTGTCTTGGCAGTTGGTCCATGTTTGAAAGTCAGTTGATTGCTGACATGAGTTTTGTGTTTGCCTTGGCAGTTGGTCCATGTATGAAAGCCAGTTCAATGTCATTGTGAAAATCCTGTCGCCAAATACTGAGCTAAAGCAATTTTTGAAATCACTTCTCATTTTATCAGCCTACAAACTAAATGACCAGATACCATTAAACACTTGTAGCATTGATTTTTTATAAGGTGAAATGTATCATCAGTTTGTTTGGTATAATTTAGCCATAGATAAATTTTGTTTAATGTTGGGCAGCTGAATGTACCCATGTTGAGAAGCTATTTGGTTAATCATATATAAATTATAATAATTAATGAAATGGACCGCATTGAACACTATTTTCCACGATCATATTAGCACTCTATTTTTTCCAAAGGTGTGTGTGTGGTGTGTGTGTGTGTGTGTGGGGGGGGGGGGGGGTTAGCTCTCAATCATTACTCCACATTGCCTATAGTAAAAATATAATTTAAAAATAATAATTGAAAGTTAGTGTTATATAACTTTGCTATGTACCAAACACCATTTCATATAACACTATATTTTCGGTTTATATATGTAAGCCCCACAATGCTAAACGAAAACTATACGAAAACTAGATTCTATACCCAAACAGTAGGGCGGAAAGGTGTAGCTACATCCATTGCTCCATAGGGGCTTCACAGGGTTTAAGTCAAGTCGATGCCATACGATATGCGAGGGCAGTCATGGTGTTGCTGTTGAATAAAGTCCCTAATTGATTCAATTGAAATAGCCAAACAATAAGTACCAGAGTTTCTTACAGGCATCTCTTCGGGGGGGGGGGGGGGCAAAGCCCCCCCCAAAATTTTTTACCGCCCCCCCGAACGAAATGAAATTTATATAATTTATAAAAGAAAATATATACTTTTAACAGTTTCCGCCCCCCCCCCCCCCCCGAAGAAAGTTTACCGCCCCCCCCCCCGAATATTTCAAATGCCCCCCGGAGAAAAAAGTCTGGAAGAAACACTGATAAGTACCCACTTTGTCACATTCAAACATTGAGTGTATTAGAGTTGAAAGCTTTCAAAGATAGCGATATGAACAGCTAGGATTTTTGGGCCCTTATACGCAGATTACCAGTGGGTCCCTTCGTCAGCCGTTAGGCTACAACGGGAGGAAATGTGGGCAGCCAAGAAATCGACTACTGCTTATAACGAGGGAGGGGTTTTCAATCAAATAAATAATTTGTACATTGGTATTTTATACGTCCTGATTGTAAATGTATTCTGTATTATATTTCCCACGTTTCTTTAACTTGCTTTCGCCTCTGTTTGTTTGTTTGTTTTTCCAATCAAATCTTGCGATCGAAATTTCGTGCACTTCCCAGTTAGCTAGCGCGCTGAAATTTTCAGGGAAGCTTTGTTTCGGATGACAATAGAATATTCAACTGTTATTATTACTAAATTGATCCATGGAAACATTTTATTGATCATTTTATACCCCTATATAATAATAATATAAAAACGTGGGGAAAAAGGGACATAACCCAGTAACTGTAATTTGATGAAAAGAAGGTTCGATACTCTCCCTCTTTTTGCCTACTGAGTAGTTGTCACGCGTTGTTTGTCTACAAACAACCAGAACGTAACAACTGGTGGCCAGTATGGGGGAGAAGATATGGTCGAGTGGTTGGGCACACGATTGCTAACCCACTCGACACGGGTTCAAATCTATGTGTTCTAGTCAGTAACGTATTCACACAACGTGTTTTTTACGAGTTGTCTTTTTACGAGTTGTCTTCGTTTACCCCAAAAAAAAGTGAAAAGATAAAATCGATAGCAAGATTTGAATGCAAACAAACATACAAAGACTAAAAAGTAGAAAATAATAATCATTAAAAAAGTTTAAAAAAAACCCACGTTTTCTGATTGAACTAAAAAGTAGAAAATAAATGCTATACATCACAATAATGCAAGCGATCACTCTACTATAAGCGATGAAAAACGTGGGGCGCCGTGATTTTCTTACAGTTTCTAATACTGTTGACTCTCTACAAGCTCCCTAGTAAAAGTCAATAGTATTATCTAATCAATAGTAATATAACTTTTACTTCGGCGCCCCACGTTTTTCATCGCTTATAGTAGAGTGATCGCTTGCATTATTGTGATGTATAGCATTTATTTTCTACTTTTTACTTCAATCAGAAAACGTGGGTTTTTAAAAACTTTTTAAATGATTATATATATATATATATATATATATATATATATATATATATATATATATATATATATATATATATATATATATATATATATATATGTAAGTTTTTTCATTTGTATGTTAATGTTACGGATTTTATAATATTTTCTACTGCAGAAAAAAAAGCTGATTTCCAATTAAATTTTTGTTTTGTATAAACAACTTTTTTCAAGGAGAGACAGAGCCCCTATGTTCCTTGGACCCCAATGCCCTGTTTAAGCAAACCTTACGTTATCTACGCCGATGAATACAAAGATACAACAGCACAATAATGTTTTCGTCTAGAGCCTCTTCAGGAGCCTTATCGTCAAGGTTGAATAAAAAAAAATAACAACCCGCAATACAATTTCTTTACCTTTTAAGACCGTATTGCTCCACTGAAGTGTTAACAGCGATATGAAAGGAGGTAGGGCTCTACGTCACTCATACTGGTTTAAGGGTTTCTTCCGGGTATCTCTTCGAGGGGTGGGGGGAAACTGCTGGTTTAGTATTTGTTCTACCTTTTTAAAAACTGTTACTGCTCCTGTAAATTTCGAAGCGATCTGATTTAGAGATCGGGTTTATTGATATGAATTGATTAACAATGTAATCGAATTATCGAATTAGAAACTGAAAATATTCGCCAACAAACGCTTAGCCGCCAATATTTGTAACTGAATGTGGGGCAGATGTCACATCATAAGTCCAAGAGAAATGTCCGCATGCCCTACAAAAAAAGACCTCATAAATAACAACAGACATGAGAGGGTTACACGTGGAGAATATTATTATCAACCAAACGACGTGTGTGTGGAGGGGGAGGTAAGGGGGTGTCGTGGTAGAGACCGCCTCTCTTCTAATGACCAGAGTTTCTTCCAGGCATCTCTTCGACCCCCCCCCCCCGAAGAAAGTCTACCACCCCCCGAACGAGATGGAATTTATAAAGGAAACATATACTTTTACCAGTGTCCACCCCCCCCTTCCGAAAAATCAAGTTCCGCCCCTCCCCCCCCCCTCCCCCGGAGAAAAAAGTCCGGAAGAAACACTTTTCAGCAGAGGGGTGCAATGTGGAGACGGCCACCCTATTAAATTACACTACCAGCCATGCTTCGTTATTTTGATTCAACAAATGGGTCACATTGCACTAGTACTTACACACTCAGTCCTCATTTCTATTCCCGGATAGCCTAGCATTACAAATGTAATTCCCCTCCTCTCGTGTTTTTCCCATATTGCACTACAGCTCAGGCCTCTCCTTCCCACCCCAGCCCGTACTAATAACTGCGACACTGCTGCCTTCACCTTATTTACCGCCAGTGTCAAAGGTCACGCCAAGCCATCGGTATTCACAACAAGGGGCAGACAACGCTCATTTGCACGAGTGAACTTCATAGAGATGGGTTACCTTTTCCTAGGGCTGCTGTTGGCTGTACTCGGCATTGGAAGATGCGCTGACGACATTGGTGAGTCACGTTTAATTAGTTGATTAATGAGTTAGGATTTGGGTATAGGAATTGGGTAAAGGATTAGACATCAGCAATACTAGACCTAGTTAATAGTTTATTACATAATATCAATTTTTACTAGTTTTTTAAGGATATGAAGCATTTGAAATTGTACTCTAAAAGGTACATCAGTATTTATTCTAGTATTGACAAAAAGATGAATATAAGGCACACACGTGTGTTTTGTGTCAGTAGTTAGGTTTAGTCGCCTTTCGGTCTAAGCGTCAGATTTAAAAGCAAATTAAAGGTACAGAACTTTGACTTGGGATCATTTATTGAACGGGAGTATCGATACCGGTATTTGATTTGAATTTTGTTGATCCGATACTGCGAGCGAATTGCCATAAAATGAATAATGAAGAACACATAATGATATCACCATTTAATAATGACCATATAATAATGACCATAAAATGACCATATAATATATATGTATAATTTATGTTATTATTTATATATAATAAATATATTACCATGTAATGATTACCATGTATTAATTACCATGTAATAATTACCATGTAATAATGACCATGTAATGATGACCATGTAATGATGGCCATGTAATGACGACTATGTAATAATGACCATGTAATGATGACCATGTAATGATGGCCATGTAATGATGACCATGTAATGATGGCATCCAATAGAAAAAACCCGTTGCCTCCTCGCTCTATTGTCGCCCCCCCACCCCCCCCCCACCCAAAAACAAAACAACAACAACACCCAGATAAAAAAAACAGCAACAGATTGAGTCATGACTTGTACAACAGCTGACGATATTTATTTGCATTGCCGACCAGACGAGGAAGTATCCCAACCATTCGATAAAACACACAACCTCGTGGCAACCCAATGTTAGACTGTAACGGTCAATTATTTGACAACCCGCCTTTGGGTTGTAACAGCTAACCATTTGGTAACCAGCCATTGGATTGTAATAAGCAACCACTTGGCAACCAATCGTTGGGCTGTAACAACCAACCAGTTGGCAACCCATCGTTGGGCTGTAACAACCAACCAGTTGGCAACCCATCGTTGGGCTGTAACAACCAACCAGTTGGCAACCCATCGTTGGGCTGTAACAACCAACCAGTTGGCAACCCATCGTTGGACTGTAACAACCAACCAGTTGGCAACCAATCGTTGGGCTGTAGCAAGCAACCAGTTGGCAACCCATCGTTGGGCTGTAGCAACCAACCAGTTGGCAACCCGTCGTTGGGCTGTAGCAAGCAACCAGTTAGCAACCCATCGTTGGGCTGTAGCAACCAACCAGTTGGCAACAGGTCGGGGTTGTCAACCACGAGCAGGATGGGAGAGATGGTCTATCGCAACCACTTGTCAACCCGCTGTGGGCTGTTCATTAATATGGCGATAAATATGCTAATGACTTTGGTTGCTGGCTATTAATTAAAAGCTGTAAATAACAAGTTATCGATCGCTCCATGGTCACAATGTTCACGTCAACCAAAGGTGTTATGAAGTGAAAGTTATGTAGTGGGGGGGGGGGGGGTAGAGAGTATTTGTGTAGTGGATGTGTTATAAAGTGAAAGTTGTGTTGCTGGGGTATAGAGTATTTGTGCAGTGGAGGTGTTATGAAGTGAGAGTTGCGTATTGTTGGGGTAGAGAGTATTTGTGTAGTGGAGGTGTTATGAAGTGAGAGTTGCGTATTGTTGGGGTAGAGAGTATTTGTGTAGTGGAGGTATTATGAAGTGAAAGTTGTGTTGCTGGGGTAGAGAGTATTTGTGTAGTGGAGGTGTTATGAGGTGAACGTAGTATGTTATTTGGGGTACGAGAGTGACGAGGTGACATAATACTTACTTGGACGAAATTTTTGTTCAAAAGTTAGTCCTTAGAGTTAGCCCTGTAGTGTAGATGTGAACATATTTCCGGATAGTTTTTGTGTAGTAGGAATTTTTTAAGCCGTGGCTCAGTGAGCCTCAGCGAGGTGTGTATGTCTCCGTCAAAATAGTCGTATTGAAAGCAGTCCTTGCCAATGTGATGCAAGCTTTATCATGATGTTATTTTCGCAAATAAACCAGTCAACCATTAAAGACTTTTCATCTGTAACTGTAACGTTCAGTGGGTTTTAAGGTCAAGAAATTAGCAATGGGCCTACGCTACACGCTAGATATTTTGAAAGTCAAAGGCGTTTTCTTTTAAATGTAGAGGTCTACCAGCGTTGGCTTTAGGAAATTTTTTTTTTGCTCCCTCATACGTATTTTTACACGCTATCGCAAAAGTAAGCCCCCCCCCACAATGACGTCAAATAGTATCACCCACTAGTTTGTCTTAAATTATTAAAAGCTTTTTTTCTTCCTAAACGGTACACAAAATATGTTACATTATGTTTCTTGCTACCCACTCCATTTTAAATATGACATCATTTATGGATATCTTTCACATTTACCATATTCATAGAGACAGAAATATAAATACAATGTATAAAGAATACAGTTTTTCAAACGATGTACAGTGTTTATGTAGACAACTGACATCATATACATCCCAACTTGAATGACTTAATGATGACTAAAGACGCCTAAAAAACAAGGAAGTTTGATACAAAGTTAAGGAACCAACACAACCAAGGATATTCTTACACAAGTCATACTTGCGTGGTGCTGTGAATTAGTATGTGGTTGTGTTGTGAATTAGTATGTGGTTGTGATGTTGTTTTAGGTTCGTGTTGTGAATTAGTGTGTGGTTGTGATGCTGTTTAAGTTCGTGTTGTGAATTAGTGTGTGGTTGTGATGCTGTTTTAAGTTCGTGTTTTGAATTAGTGTGTGGTTGTGATGTTTTATTTAGTCTCGACGTGTTTTACGGGTAGTACACTGTCATTAGTTGTATCTGACAAGTGTTCACGCGTGCAATCAAGGTGCATGAAAAACAAGTAAGTTTAATACAAAGTAAAGGAACAAACACTACCAAAAACATTTTGACATAAGGCCAAAAAATGTAAAAATGTTTTTATAAAATCAGTTTACACTCCGGAAACTATGAAGAAAAAATATGATAGCGAAAAAAGCCGTACGTAAAGTGACAAAGAGACAATAGAACAGTAACAAAGCACTGCAGATATAAACACATTCTATTCTTTGTTTTAGAATACAGTTGGTAGACACTGCGTGATTTGAAATGGGTAGTCTGGGTTAACCTGGGGGTGTATCTAATGAGCGATGGGGTGGGGGGGGGGGGGGTAGGGGGGTGTACACTAATGACGAGTGTGGCAGCTTCATTACAAAAACACACACCACAAAGCCCGCGATAACTGTCGCATCATCAAATCGAAACCATCATTTCATCTGTTCTAAAACATACGCCATCTTCTCGAATGATTGGGTGTGTTCAATGTTTACATAGGTAGCAGTCGAGATGTTGGAGATGAGTTTGCCGAGAGATGGCGCCATTTATTCTATTTTTGAAGATGTAAACTCTAGCCTACATCCATTCAAACAGCTTTAAATATAAAGTCAACAGATAATTCTAGAGGGAGCGTGTCAGTTGTTTATTCTTTCATTCCATTCAAAGCCTCGTTGATTTTTGGAACAAAATTTGTTTACTTTATCAACTTAACCAAAATCTAATTCTACTACACACGAATATGCACACCCCCCCCCCCCCCAATTTTTGTAGGATAGTGTGTGTAACACACCAATTATTTTTTGTTAGTTATGCGTGTTTAACACATCTTTTACAATTTCAGTACAGTGTCTGTGTGTCTATCTATCAGTAAGTGATGTTTCACACGTTAATTTTTGGTACAGGTGCAGTCAGTGCTGGGGGCCAGGTTATTTAGCGCCCTAGGCAAAACTTTTTACAACGACCCCTGCTGCAAATTTTTTTGCCACCCCCCCCCCTTATTTTATATACATATATATCTATATATATAACATATCATTGGTACCAGTCAAGGGGGATAAATAATAAGTTATAATTTATTGGCTTGCGGCCCCTGTGGGACCGCAACTGTTGATGTCATTTTTTAAAATTGTTCTTCTGTCAGCGATTTTTACCCGTGTTCCATGTCATGTGACCTCTGGGACTCTGAGTAGTTCGTAAAAGTGGCAAATTATTATTATCCAGTTGAAAAAAACATGAATTTTATAAACAGAAATTTATGACACGCTTCAATGAAACTATGACACGAGACAAACGATGATGTTAAAAGTTGGTTTTTAAAAAATCCATTCAAAGTTTGTTTACCGACCAGAGATGGACAGCTATTTCTCTCTGTCAGAGCTTTCAGACTCGATGCTTTGCAGCGGCACAAAGTTAACTTTCATTGATCATTTACAGCGCTTTAAACACATAAGGAGGGGCAGACAACTTTTGTTGTAAACTACGACTCTAGACAGCAGGACATTTACAACTGAGCCAAGTGGAGTAGACTGTCTTATAAATTATTTGAAACAGTGCTCAAACATCTTCAGAAGTTGACGTAATTTATTTCCATGTTTACTTTTCAAAATACTTGAGTCAGGTGTGGTGGGATACAGTTGTTTCTTCTCGGTCTAGGGGTCAGGCATTGGTCGTGGGAAATATGGTGTGTAGGACATTGGATGTGTAGGCCATCTGTTATTTTATTGTGACCACTTAGCAGAGGCGTAGCGATGGGGGGCAGGGGGTACATATGTCCCCGGGCGCCGACCTTAGGGGGCGCCAAAATGGGTTGTAAAAACAAATTACAATGTCATTTTAGCTGAATTTTTGCAGGGGGGGGGGTGAGGGGGGGGGTGCAAACCGAAAGTTTGAGGGGGGGGGGGGGGGGGTGGGCAAGTTGAAAATTTAAAAGGGGGGGGGGGTGCAAATTTATAATTTGTTCCCGAGGGGGCGTCAAATGGAAAGTTTGTCCCCGGGCGCCGGGAAGGGTCGCTACGCCTCTGCCACTTAGGGGACGAAATAAAAATGTATTGAATCAGCATAACAATCTTCTTGGTCCATCTATGTTTAACACACGCTGTAAACAAATGTTTGCTTATAAATATATTTTCCTGTTGTATGCTATATTTTATGTTTTCTAAATTGTTTTTGGGAAGTTTGTGTGACGATTATGAAAAAAATAATGAATGTCACACGTTTTATTTTAATTAAAGTGCGAAAGTATTTGTCGGTAATAAAATGTGATTATGTCAGATGATAATCTAACCGAAGTTAGGGTTCCTGACAAGAGTTGTGGTTCATAGCAATGTTATATATCTAATGCCATGTCAATGGTGATTATTTATTTGGTTTTACTAGACCTACTTTACATTGATGTTGTGGTGCACAGGCCGTTATCTTTAGTTAACTTTACTGAAGGAATGCGCATGTGCAACACCAACATAATTTATGAACAACAAGGAAGATAAGCGATGCCAACATCTGCGACACCTCTGTTAAAAGCCCTGTCTAAATATAAAACATGTTTGCTTGTGACAAATAAACACTCTGTTTTTTTGATTTAATGAACAGCACCCCCCACCTCCCCCCCCCCCCCGTCTATAAGGTCAACTTGGAATTATTTTCCAAGAAATGCCACATGTCTTATCACTTTGACTCTGAAAAGTGATAGTTATGTCCTTACATAAACCACCCCTCACAAATCCTATATATTAAAACCAAAGCTAATGTCACGGAATAACTCAAAGTCAACATTGTACAATGCAACGGAAATCGTTCTAAAAAGAAAGTTGGATCTAAAATACCCCCACCCCCCCCCCCCTCCCCGCAAAAAAAAAAGACACGAATACAACACTTGAATTTATGAAAGAAACTGGCCTTGTGAAAGCTCTCCAGCTAAATTAAATGAATGTACGACTCTCTCTCACCTCACCAACACACACTTAACACTACTCCCTCCCTACCTCCTCAATACCTTCACACCCGACTAATCTTAATCCACACCCCTCCCTACCGTCACAAACACAAGACCCCTCCCCCTACTCAGCTGACCCTAACCATCTCCCCCTCCCCCAGGCTACTTCTGGCACGTGACCGACTTCCACTATGACCACACGTACGCGACCAGCAAGCTGTCCTGTAACGAGGAGGTGCCAGCCCTGCAGACGTTCGGCGACTACTGGTGTGATGCCACCTGGGCCCTGGTCACCGACAGTGTTAAAAGCATGGCTCGCATCAAACCTGATGTCGACTTTCTCATTTGGACGGGGTAAGTGTTAAAACAAATACTAGCATCAAACATGATGTCGACTTTCTCATATGGACGGGGTAAGTAAGGCTCGCATCAAACATGATGTCGACTTTCTCATTTGGACGGGGTAAGTGTTAAAACAAATACTAGCATCAAACATGATGTCGACTTTCTCATTTGGACGGGGTAAGTAGGGCTCGCATCAAACATGATGTCGACTTTCTCATTTGGACGGGGTAAGTGTTAAAAGCATGGCTCGCATCAAACGTGATGTCGACTTTCTCATTTGGACGGGGTAAGTAAGGCTCGAATCAAACATGATTTCGACTTTCTCATTTGGAGGGGGTAAGTGTTGAAACAAAGGCTCGCATCAAACGTGATGTCGACTTTCTCATTTGGACGGGGTAAGTAAGGCTCGCATCAAACGTGATGTCGACTTTCTCATATGGACGGGGTAAGTAAGGCTCGCATCAAACATGATGTCGACTTTCTCATTTGGACTGGGTAAGTAAGGCTCGCATCAAACATGATGTCGACTTTCTCATTTGGACGGGGTAAGTAAGGCTCGCATCAAACATGATGTCGACTTTCTCATTTGGACGGGGTAAGGCTCGCATCAAACGTGATGTCGACTTTCTCATATGGACGGGGTAAGTAAGGCTCGCATCAAACATGATGTCGACTTTCTCATTTGGACTGGGTAAGTTAGGCTCGCATCAAACGTGATGTCGACTTTCTCATTTGGACGGGGTAAGTAAGGCTCGCATCAAACATGATGTCGACTTTCTCATATGGACGGGGTAAGTAAGGCTCGCATCAAACCTGATGTCGACTTTCTCATTTGGACGGGGTAAGTGTTGAAACAAAGGCTCGCATCAAACATGATGTCGACTTTCTCATTTGGACGGGGTAAGTAAGGCTCGCATCCAGTGGCACAGCTACCGTAAAGCTAGCGTAAGCAAGGCATAGGGGCCCAAAGCAAATAGGGGCCCTCTTTCGAAAGTTTGAGGGGGAGGGGTGCAAATCGAAAGTCTGAGGGTGGGGGGGGGGGGGGTGCAAATCGGAAGTATGTCGCCGGGAAGGGTCGCTACGCCTCTGAGAGGCCCGCTAACACTTTTTGCATAGGGGCCCAAAAATCCTAGCTACGCCACTGCTCGCTACAAACATGATGTCGACTTTCTCATTTGGACGGGGTAAGTCAAAGGACACTGGCATCAAATGTTTATTGTAGGAACACTCTCTTCAAATATCTCCTTACAGTGACACCGTGGCCCACATAGCCGACAAGAACTTGTCCCTGGAGCTGAACCTTGAGATCCTCCAGAACATCACCGACCTGCTCAACACCAGCTTTGTGGGAGCGCCCGTCTACGCATCCCTGGGCAACCACGACTTCTACCCCAACGGTCAAGCCAACTACACAGAGGATGAGTTTTACAGGAGCATTGATGACATGTGGAGGGACTGGATCATCAAGACTGTGGGCAACAAGGAAGAGAATTATTTTGTCAAGGAGGGTAAGTCTTGGAGTTTGGGATGTGTACCAGAGGGGATTCTAACCTTACTCAAGAATAATAATTCTTACTCAATAATTAAAAAGTTTTCAATACAATTTTAAATTCAAATACTAAGTTTCTAAAAAATATCTATATATATATATAATTCTCTTCTTGGAGACGTTAGAAAACAAGCTTTAAGCGCGCCTTGCAGTCCCCTCTCTAGGAAGTCTAGTGAGCTGTGGTTCACGCTCAATGTTTACAATCGTAGAGCCGGGTTAAGTGACGGCTATTAGGGGCAGATAATTTAGTTTGAAACTATTTTAAACTTAGGGGAGGTAGCTAAGAGGAGGCTGCTTTCACGGGGGGGGGGGGGGGGTTATCGTCTTTAACGACTTACTGATAGTGGGTCGGCTCGTTTTATGTATTTACCAAATGTAATACTCATAACAAGCAATTTGCAGTGAAACTGCGTTTTCAGTTTTTTTAACTTTTTGCAAAGTTGTAAGAGGTCGTCCATAAATGACGTCACACTCGTAGGGGGGAGGGGGGTCCGTAATTTTGTGACGGTGTGTGATGAGGGGGAGGGGGGGATTTCAGATGGTGTGACGTCACTTTTTTGCATTATAAAAAAGCATTTTAGAAAACGAGTTGTAGCCGTTATTTCGCGTTTTAGAAAACTGTTTTAATAAATTGTAATAGGAATTGATCAAAATACTCTATGTTGACAGCATTCTGACAAGATTTTGGAAAAATGTCGATTTTTTAAGAAAAATTCAACAGCAATTTTGAAGGGGGTTGTAGGCTGAGGTGTGACGTTATTTTAGGGGGGGGGGGTCTGGTTTTTTTGTAACGACGTGTGACGGAGGGGAGGTAGGGAGGTAAAAATCGTCAAAAAGCGTGACGTCATTTATGGATGACCCCTAATGTAAAAATGATAAAACAAAGGTCAGTTTGGTTATTTCTGATTTATTTTACTAGCATCAACAAAGAACCATATCCTACCTAGGTATATATATATATATATATATATATATATATATATATATATATATACATACATACATACATACATACATACATACATACATACATACACATATAATATATCATATATAACAAATATACATAAATGTGAGTACTAAAATCTTTATTTCTCATGCAGGCGGGTACTACTCTGTGATTGTAAGACCTGGCCTAAGACTTCTGGCACTGAACACAAACCTGTACTACACCAGTGACAAGCTGACCGCCAACATGACTGACCCCACTGACCAGTTCAAGTGGATGAAGCAACAGCTGCAAAGTGCTAAAGATAAAGGAGAGAAGGTAACGCTTGAGCAAAAGATAATGCATATCCTTTGAATACCACCTCAAACAGGCACACCACTCCTATATATAATGTTGACATACACATTATCCCTTTATATGCTGAGGACAAAGAAACAGGTGGACTTTACTTCACATGCCCTGTATCCCACCAAGTTCCGTTAGGCAACTTTATCATTCACATTTAAATAAAAATTGAAAAAAAAATAAGATTGACATGATGTGTCTCTATTTATTTCGTAGATCTAGATTCTAGATCTAGAACCTAGATAGATAAATCATAAACCCAATGTATTCTCGAATTAGATGATCATTGAAGCTAAGAAACAATGATTTATATCAAATATTTAAGGACTATCATAGTTTTAGAAAGACACTCAATAATTTATTGGGATTTTATAATGGTTTTTATTTTTAACTAATTAATTTTGGTTTGACCTAGACTCTAGATTTTAGATCTAGGATTGATTTTCTCTTCAACCGTCCGGCAGCTGATTTTTAGAGTCTAGATCTAGAGAAATTTATTGTATACTCAAATTAGAACTGTTGAAAATTGATAATAGTCTTGGAACCTAATAAAAATAGCAAACGGAAGTATCGTTAAAGCTATAGCCGACAGAAAATTAGCTTTATAATGCATTAAACTTTTGAATGGAAAACAAAATATTCGATGGAAGCCGACATTATTGTTGTAAAAAGTAAATAAATTATGTGACGTCACTATAAGTAAAGTCATTGTTCTGAACTTTTATAATTAATGTGGTTCAATATACAAATGATTAATTAAATAAATTAATTAACGTCTTAAAATTAATTTGTGATTAACAGTTTGGTCAAAAAGAACATTGTTTTCTGCCTAATTAGGTATTTACAGCTCTACAAATAGTGCAGATTCTCTCCTGTAACCAAACAGACAAACAAACAAAAAAAAAAAATATTCAAACATGTAAACAAACTTGCGTTTTAGTAGTATATAGATAGATGTTAAGAAGCTGGGAGTTAAAAAAAAACCCCACTGCTGAATGTTTTTGCTATGTGATTTAAAAATCTGTTTAGTATTTTTACTTTCTCGTATATACGAAGTATAGAGAAAGTATTGTAATCGTGCAAAAAAAAAATCGAGATTTTTACAGATCTCGACGTTTTACACCTCACTGATACGGAAAAACATAATTTTGCAATCTTGTCCGTATGTCTGTGTGTGTGTGTGTCTGTGTGTCCGTGTGTAAACACGATAACTTGAGTACCGTTACAGCTAGGTTGATGAAATTTCATATATAAGTATTTTATCAAAATCGTAGATCCGTATCAACTTTTGAGCGATTTCCGATAACCGGAAGTGGTACTTTTCCTACTTTGAATTTTTTAAAAGCCTATAACTTGAGTACTATTTCAGATAGATAAATGAAATTTCACATGTAAGTAAAAGATCTAATTCTCTACCTTCTGTTAAATTTTGAGTAATTTCCGTTGACTGGAAGTAGTAATTTACGCTACTTCCGATTTCTCAAAAAACTAATGTAAATTTTAAAAGTACTAATAATATTGCGCACTATTATGCGCTTTTTTATTGGGCGTTCACTTGGTGTGCAATTAATTTGTCTACGAGATTTTATTCTATTTTTAAAACTTTAAGTATTTAAAATGGATTAAAAATCATGTCTATAGCCCGAGTTCCCATCCCCTGTTATTTTATATAAGAATATTCGAGAAAGTTTAGGGGAGATCACTCCCGGTTTATTAAAACTTATGAGGAAATTATAAATCCTGTTTTTTTGTTTGTTTGTAATATTTAAATGTTTGGCTTGCTACAGGTGTTTGTGACTGGCCACGTCCCACCTGGCCTTTTCTTCCCTGGATATTCGGATTGGTTCTATCCACACTTTAAGAAATCTTTTATGGATATCATCCACAACTATTCTGATATTATTGTCGCAACTCACTATGGACACGACCATGCAGATAGCTTTAAAATCTTACAAGATGAGAAAGGTACAATTTTGCAATCACAACACATCAGCTAGATCCAACATTATATTTTACATGGTAGCAGAATTTAAAAAAAAGTAGAATCTATTAGCAATTCACACATAAAGCTCATCTTTCACTGTCACCTAACAATCCACAAGGCATGGTGTGGTCAGCACTTTGATCAGCCGCCTTTACTTTCCCTAATGTGAGTCGGGTAACAATTAGACCTGGGTGGACACAGAGCATCCTACGGTCACAAGTCCAGACCGATATCGAATTCGAGACCTTCAGGCTAGTAACTGAGTGCTACCATGCCATCCCATATCTCAAGGCATAACTTGGCTGATGTAGAGTTCAGGCTCCTTGCCTAGACTTGAGGCAGATACCCATTGGCTAGTCTCCATTTTTGGCGATACTCACTGATGCTCTAATCACTTAGTTCAGCCATCTTTACTTTCCCAGGTATCCATAAGTGTCATCCAATATTGGTCTTGCTCTCATGTCCATTACTTCAAATTGTCATTGGTACTAATGATATGTTTACATAACACTTCACTTCTCTAACAGGTGAAAGGGCAGTAACCCAGTTTAATGCCCCATCAGTAACACCATGGAGGTACAAACTGCCAACAAAGACAGGAGAGGCTCACAACCCTGGCATTCGTCTGGTCAAGTACAACAGGGACACAGGTGTCAACCTGGACTACACTCAGTACTTCATCAACATCACAGATGCCAATAAAGAAAACAAAGCTAACTGGGTAAGTCAGTATTTCATCATCTGTATTTTCACCAACATCATTTAGAATACAAACCTATTGCACAAGTCAGTAATTCAGCAGCCTCACAAAGAAAAAAAAAATTGTTTGGTAAGTCAGTATTTTAGCAACATTACCAAAAAACCTAGCCGGATAGTCAGTATTTCAACAATATCACAAAAAAAACCTAGCTGGGTAAGTCAGTATTTCAACAATATGTTAAATGCAAATTATTCTTCAATTTCACACTTTATTCTTAAAAAATAAAAACTTAATTATATTTCTCAGAATAAGAATGAAAAACTTGTTAATATTTGTAACAAAAATATAAATGAGACTGACTTTTTTAAAATGACTTGGGACAATTTTTAAAAAGTCCACTGAAAAATGACAGTAAATAGGGCAGATGGAGTAGAGTCCATCTGTTTTAATGGCTTCACTTTCCTCTCAATTAATGTTGAGTACCCACTACAGCTGGATAGACTCTATATTTAAATTAGTCACCACAATGCCATATGATTACACACATGCTACTCATGTTACTCCTAACCAACTTCAACTCCTCCCTCACTAGGCCGAGCTCTACAGCTTCACCACCGCCTATGATGTTCCAGACATGAGCGTCTCATCCTTGAGGAAAATCTTTGAAAACTTGAAAGCTGACCACAAGAGCAAATACTACCAGAGGTTCTGCAACTACTGGGTGGTCAGCCAGCTGGACATGAAATGCACAGAAGAAATGAAGGCAGACATTCTGTGTGGTGGCCTCAATTACAATTTAGCGCAAGCTAATAATTGCTCAGCTGATCGCATCAACAGTTTAAAAAATGCTCAAACAGTTTTAAAAGGCAGTTTTGTCACAGTCATGCTATCCATAGTGTTTTTAGTGGCTCTCTTGCTGGAATAAACATTTATTAGCAGTTTGAAATAGGAAATACTGCCTATTGCGTGTGTTCATTAGATTGACATAAAATGTCCGAACTTATATAGATCTACATTTTTACTTTAAGATTCTATCAGAATCCACTAGTGCAAATGAGACAATAATTAATTAATCTATTCAATCTGATTTGCATAATGCATTTTTTTATTAATGTACTTGAAGTGTTTGAATGACTTCTTTTGATAAACTGATTTTAAGAATATTGGTTGTGCTGACTAAATACATGTTGATGGAGCCAATTAGGTTTTGCCTATGATCATTATATTTATAATGTAGGTTTTAAAGTTTAAAGGTGATGATATCAAATAATTTGTTCAATACAATTTTCACATAGTTAATGACTAATTAATTGTTATTGTTGCATCTATCTGTTTTTCAAATTAATTTAGCATATTATACCTGTTAAAATTTTTTTTGGCTTGTTAAATTGCTTATTGTAAATATTTAAATTAACAAGATAACTCTGCAGACAGTTAACTTTTGATATTAGTTTTGTGTTTGTCTAAGGCAGTTGGTCCATGTTTGAAAGCCAGTTCAATGTTTGAGAGAAAGACCTGAAGCCAAATACTGAGCTAAAGCAACTTTTGAAATCCTTTCCCATTTTATAGTCCTAAAACTAAATGACCTGAGACCACAAAACCATTGATTTTTAATTAAAGTGTATCATCATTATTTGGTATAATTTAGTCATCCATAAATTTCGTTTAAATGTTGTGCAACTTAATGTACCCATGTTGAGAAGCTATTTGGTTGATTATGAATTATTATAAATATTGAAAAGGATTGCCTTGAATATTGTTTGTCTTTCTTGGAATAATCTTACTTGTTTTAAAAATTAAGCCACTTATTAATTATTTTACCAAAATAAACATGTATTAAAAATTGTGATTAATTATATTGTGTTTTCATTTTTATATTGACTGCTACATTTGGTGATTATTTACTATATTTAGTCATTTTTTTTGCTACTCAACATCAAACATCACTGAATAAATAATGATGATATTAGAGAAAACATGATGTTACACAATTATTCAAGAGAGTATTCTAGAGCATACCAATAAAAAATACATAAAGCATAGCACTGCTGTCCTAGCCAGAGTTTCTTCCAGGCATCTCTTTGAGGGGCTCTGTCCCCCCCCCCCCCCCCGAAGAAAGTCTACCACCCCCCCCCCCCCCTCCTGAACATTTCAAGTGTCGCCCCCCCCCCCCGAACGAAATGAAATTTATATAGAAAATATATACTTTTAACAGTGTTCCCCCCCCCCTGAAGAAAGTCTACCGCCCCCTCCCATAATATTTCAAGTGTCCCCCCCCCCCCCCCCGGAGAAAAAAGTCTGGAAGAAACACTGGTCCTAGCTGAATCACAACTTGGTAGTGGTAGGTTAAAAATGTTTTATGGAAGGTTAAGGTATAGTATTCTATATAGGGCCTACTAAAAATAATATAATTTAGTACTAATAATTGTAGGCCTTACTAATTGCACAAACACTAAAAGTGACTAAATCTAAATTTTAAAACTAGTAAAACTTATGTTCTCTTTGTTAACATATAAATGTATTTAGTGTAAGCGATGTAGTAAGCAACAGGCAGGCCCTGCCCTATGTCTATAAATCTTGCTTTAAAAAAAAACCACTTTGCTTTTTGGCAACTGACGTAAGAATTTGGATTTTAAACCGACCTGAAATTTGGACTCTCTAATTTCCTAAACGGAGAAAAAATCGTGATAAATCAAATCAATCTAGATTTAGAATCTAAATTAGATCTAGACTAGATCTCTCTTTAGTCTTTAGCTTTGGTTGATTACAAAAATTATCTATGGTTTAACACAAAATTTAAAGATACGGTGTAAATGAATTATAAACGGTATCTGCTTTTGTACAATTTATTGTTCCTCATTTCATATAAAACTAATTATAAACTATTTTGGGTAAAATCACGATATAGCATCGGAAATTATATGGCAATGTTCGTTGAGTTTCGGTAACATTCGTTACTGTAAACCAGGGGTCTCCAAACTACGGCCCGCGGGCCGGATGCGGCCCGCGAGGTCCTCTCATTCGGCCCGCGCAGATCTTTTTGTCCACGGAAAAAACGTTTGTTGGTGATGGCTGAGGAACTTTTTCAGAAAAATCAAAGATATGTCCGGAAGAAACTGGCCCCCAAACTGAAATTTAATAGTTAATGTGGCCCTCGGACTGAAAAGTTTGGAGACCCCTGCTGTAAACAATAGTTTATTTGACTGGTGAAAGAAAAATAAAGTCAAGTGCATTAAATTAATGTTTTAACTTAATTTAATGTTTAACTGACAAAAAATTAGCAACAATTAGTAAATCTAATTATTATTAATTAATTCGAGTGTAGTAATTAATGTTTTTTTTTAGAAACAGAAAAAACCTGCAGAAGATTTGCGACAACCAGCTCTAGTTCTGTTAGTAAAAATATTAAGTAATAAGTAAATAAGACGATTAGATTAACTAAAGTTAAAAGTAGTAAGAATAACTAGAATAATGTTTAGTAGCAGCAATAATTAGCACATACACTTAAAATAATTAGAAATACAAAATAATTAGCTAAACAGTATTTAAAATGCAACTAAAATCAATCCTTGCACATTTTTAAACATTATGTATTAAAAATAATATGGCGGCAAATAAATGACAGTTTACAGAATTTCCGGTGGTTTCCGGAAAGGCTCGACAGACTACGCCATGGTTTTACTGTTTTTTTTTTTTTTACTGCTGTACAGTTCCGGAATAATAACCGACGCTATTTCGTGATTTTACCCTATTTTGTGTATTTTAAAAATAGCGTTTAAAGTAACAGTTTAAAAAACTTAAATTAAAGTTCATAATTAATTTCTACCTCTGGAATGCCATTCCAACCAATTAATTCATAAAGAATAAAATGCTTATTGTATGGCGGATTTTAATAATTTCAATTTCACAAAACGTGACCATAAGATTGGTTATTATTTTCACACAGGTTTTATCCACATAAAATTTCTCAAGAATAGTTTTAATAATAATAAAGCTCAGTAGCGTAGCGAGGGGGGGGGGGGCGGGGGACATATGTCCCCGGGCGCCGACCTTAGGGGGCGCCAAAATGGGTTGGAAAAATAAATTGAAAGGTTGAGGGGGGTGCAAATCGAAAGTTTGAGGGGGGGGGGTGCAAATGGAAATCTCGAGGGGGGGGGGGTGCAAATCGAAAGTTTGAGGGGGGGTGCAAATCAAAATCTCGAGGGGGGGGGGGGGGGGGTTGCAAATCGAAGTTTGTCCCCGGGCGCCGGGAAGGGTCGCTACGCCTCTGATAAAGCTAGAGGTTACCCAGACATTTGTGGTCAAAGGGACGTAACAATGAAATAGTTTTAAAAAAGAATACAGTTAGAGTTGCGTTTTGCAATTATTTGAACAAAACCACCTCTTAATTAAAATGAAATTAAGTCTCTGGTTGCATTACAAAATGTATAACTAAAAAAGGACTGGAAAATTTTATTGACTGACTCATGCATTTTCAGTTTTTTAAAATTTATACCTCTTTTAAAAATATGTATATATAAAAAACAAACAAAAAAACCCCCCAAAAAACAAACTAAAAATAAAAGATAAAAAGCAAGGGGCACAAATCTTAACTAGTCTAAAAACTATAATTATTACACTGTTATTTCCCTTAGTTAAATAATGAACTCAGTCGCACTTCTTTTTTACCGAAAAGAAACAGTGTACACAGTATCAAGAAGTAAAGCAAGTCGCACTTAAAATAATACCCCCTCGGCCTCCATTTTTCAAATTCCTATCCTAGTCTGATAAATCTAAACAACATTTTTGCTGAATGTTAAATAACAGCAAAAAGCATTAAATGGAATATGTGCTATTTTAATACATTTGAGAAAATAAGCATCGAATCTTTTTTTGATTAAAAATATACGCTAACATATTACACGGCAACAGCACTTAAAACTACTAAATAAGAACATAGAGATACAATTTCTGACTCTTGACCTAACTGGGTTACGGTTGAATTCTCTTGGACTACTTTGTCATTTGAAGTTTTGAAGAATTAATTTCCTGCTACAAGTGTGGCTAGTCACAAACCTTGGCTTACTTCCCCTTATCTTCTCACAAGGGCTGACTGGTTCACATTTTCGGTCAGGAGTTTGGCGTGAGAAGCAAGAGTTATGGGACTTGTGCAGTTGTTCGGTGTCGTCATAGCTGTGTTCAGTGTGGTGACGGCTGATTCAGGTTAGTCTTCTAGAATCTTCTAGATGGTTGAAGTCATCTATAAAGCTTTAATAACAAATGTGAGTAAAGATGTGTACAGTACATGTACAACATGCGTACAGTATTGACCATCTGTACAAAAATGTGCATCTGTAACACAACACAACCTGTTTTTCAGCATTGTGTACTTGTAGAAGTAAGGGAAGGTAATCGTGTATTGATCCACAATTTTCACGGAATCCGTGTGCTAATAACTTTTGAATTTCCCGTTTTAGGCAACAAATAAAAGTCAACACGATTATAATTTGCAATATAGATTTTTAAGCCTCACCCCACCCCCGATGTTACATGTTAAGCTTTTCAGCGTAATCAAACTATAACGACCATCTGGTTGGTGTGTATGTGGGGAGGGGGTGAGGCGGTGATCGGTTCTCTCTGGTATTCGATTATTTAGCTTTTTATATTTTAAAATCAACACTCGTTAAAAGGGAGATAGAATAGCCGGACCTTTGTATGTATACTGTGACTAACACAACAACAAATATCAAATAAGCAACACATTTAGATTTAACACTGGCTACCTGTAAACATTAGTACAACTTTTTTTTTTACATCAACATTCAAGTATGAACGTTAGATCACCTGGTTCAGTGAATAGAGGGGTTTGGTTTTAAATCATTGTACAACTCCTAGAGTGAGCAACATTGGGCCTGTTAGCTTGTCCCATTGGATTGACGTCAAACACTTATTCAGACTCGGTCGTCTTTGTCTAATTTGAAGAATGTTCAGTGTTAAAGGACATTTTTTAAGTTGAAAGTTAAAATAGGACGTATACAACTTTAAAATTATCTTTAAAATTATTTTTTAATGACTGATTTAATAGTTAACACGATTGAAATTAATTAAACATCCATGCTAAGTCAGAGGCGTAGTGACCCTTCCCGGCGCCCGGGGAAAAACTTTCGATTTGCACCCCCCTCGAACTTTTCATTTGCACCCCCGCTCAAACTTTCAATTTGGCGCCCCACCCCTAAGGTCGGCGTCCCCCCCCCCCCCCCTCTTTGCTGTATTATCGGCAAGGTTTTTATGTGGAAAGTTAACAAAGTGGATCTAAATTTAAGATTAGCCACAAAGCTACAAATATTATGACCCAACCTGTTCAAACTTGTCAACCAAATCCCCTCCCCCAGGCTACTTCTGGCACGTGACCGACTTCCACTATGACCCCACCTACTGGGGCCAGCAGCTGTCGTGTAACGACGTGGTCCCCACCCCGGGGGTCTACGGCGACTACTGGTGCGACTCCCCCTGGGTCTTAGTGCAGGACAGCATCGAGAACATGGGGCGGATTCGTCGGGACGTCGACTTTGTCATCTGGACAGGGTAAGTCAGCGGTTCTCACATTTTGTGTCACTGCTCTTAAGGTAAGTCAGCGGTTCCCACATTTTGTGTCACTGTTCTTAAGGTAAGTCAGCGGTTCCCAAATTTTGTGTCACTGCTCTTAAGGTAAGTCATTTTTGTCACTCCAAAAGGGGCATGTCAGCGGTTCCCACAATTTTCATCACAGCACCTAGGATAACTCTTTGGTTCCCGGTAACACCTCAATCAATTTGACTTTCTCTTTGACTCGGGTGTCCGATTTTTTTTTTTTTAAATACTTTTATTTGCAATTAAAACAAGTACATCAACATCAAATTTTTTAACATAATTTTGAACACCAAATGAAAACGAAAGGTTTTGCAAATGTACATAATGAATATTTACATGATGTCATGTATTTGAATATAAAAAATTGCAAAGGATGACAGTAAAAGGGGTGAAGGTCAAATGAAAGTGTCAGAAGTCTGGGTGGGGAGAGGAAAGGAAATTTTTCAGAGAGGGTCAATGGGACAGTGAAGCATTTTCTATGTAGGGAAACAACTGAAGTTGACTAGTTGAAAGGGTGTTGTAGTGGTCGCATTGAGTTTTCAAAAGGTTGCAGTGTGAAAGATGAGGGGAAAGAGACAAGATTTAGAACTTTAAATAAGTTCTGGATATTGATGTTGCGGTGGGTGGTGGGGGTCGTTGGAACAGTTAAAGGGATTGTGGGGTTATCATGTCTGAGGGTAAAGTGGATAGAGGGGGAGAGAGGAGGGGGTAGATTTTTTTTATTTTTATTAATTCAATTGTTTTAAACATTTAAATCAGTAATAATAATATATTTGATAGATTTTACACAGCATCAAAGACATGAACAATGAACATCAATTGCATATATAATAATCAAAGGGAAATAAACCGGGAGTAATCTCCCCAAAACTTTCTCGAATATTCTTATATAAAACAACAGGGGATGGGAACTCGGGCTATAGACATGATTTTTAATCCATTTTAAATACTTAAAGTTTTAAAAATAGAATAAAATCTCGTAGACAAAAGAATTGCACACCAAGTGAACGCCAAATAAAAAAGTGCATAATAGTGCGCAATATTATTAGTACTTTAAAAGTTTACATTAGTTTTTTGAGAAATCGGAAGTAGCGTAAATTACTACTTCCGGTCAACGGAAATTACTCAAAATTTAACAGAAGGTAGAAAATTAGATCTTGTACTCACATGTGAAATTTCATTTATCTATCTGAAATAGTACTCAAGTTATAGGCTTTTGAAAAATTCAAAGTAGAAAAGTACCACTTCCGGTTATCGGAAATCGCTCAAAAGTTGATATGGATCTACGATTTTGATAAAATACTTATATGAAATTTCATTAACCTAGCTGTAACGGTACTCAAGTAATCGTGTTTACACACAGACACACACACAGGCATACAGACATACGGACAGAATTGCAAAGCCCAGTTTTTCCGATGTCTGTATATTTCCTACCACACATTGAAATTGAGAGACCGATCAAAGATGGTGCTTAACTATCGCTATTCAAAAAATTACTTGCATAATACAGTTAATGGTGTTTCCTATTTCAATTAAAGTCAAATAATAATTCTAAAATTGATAAAGAATAACTGTTAAACCAATATGTAACAAACAATTTTATCATTCATGTTTATATCAAAAATAAATATTGATTCTTATTTGAATTTTATAAATATTCAATTTGTCTGCAATTTTTACGGCTTTTATAACTTTGTTTTCAGTTACTTTCCTTGGTTACACTAAATATGTGAATTGGAAGTGATTAACGGAACTAACTATTAATATTTAATGTTAAAAGTACTTACAAAACTAATGCACTTTGCCAAAACTGATTGTAAGAAGATGTATAACATTATCATGTTGATTTTAGTGACAACTTGTCAAAACTGATTGTAAGACAAGATGTAAAACATTATCACATTATCATGTTGGTTTTAGTGACAACGTAGCCCACATCAGCGACACCTACATGAGCCTCAACATCAACCTGGCCATCCTACAGAACATCACGACGGCCCTGAACAAGACGTTCCCCGGGGTGCCCTTCTACCCCAGCCTCGGGAACCACGACTTCTACCCCAGCGACCAGGCCAGCGGAAGTGTCAGCGAGATGTATCTGCGCATGTCTGAGATCTGGGCCGACTGGATCGTTGACCCGCAGCAGATAGAACTCTTTAAGAAAGGTACGGACACAGATAAGCTTTTATCTAATGCTGACAGGGACTCAAGTTTGAACACTCAGATAAAGATATAGACAACAGATAAACTTTATCTAATGCTGACAGGGACTCAAGTTTGAACACTCAGATAAAGATATAGACAACAGATAAGCTTTATCTAATGTTGACAGGGACTAAAGTTTGAACACTCAGATAAAGATATAGACACAGATAAACTTTATCTAATGCTGACAGGGACTCAAGTTTGAACACTCAGATAAAGATATAGACACAGATAAGCTTTATCTAATGTTGACAGGCTCAAGTTTGAACACTCAGATAAAGATATAGACACAGATAAGCTTTATCTAATGCTGACAGGGACTCAAGTTTGAACACTCAGATAAAGATATAGACACAGATAAGCTTTATCTAATGCTGACAGGCTCAAGTTTGAACACTCAGATAAAGATATAGACAACAGATAAGCTTTATCTAATGCTGACAGGGACTCAAGTTTGAACACTCAGATAAAGATATAGACACAGATAAGCTTTTGTTAATGTTGACCTAAGATCACATCTTAAATGCTTTGAAAAAAGCATGGATGTGGATTAAACATCTTGTTAATGTTTACAAAGACAAACCGTCTTTACATTAATTAACACATAATTCACTTTCCTTGAAAGGGTGGTATTTATTGAATAGAAACTTAGGTGCCAGCAGGACTTTAATTCGTTAGGAATACAAGAAATCCCCATCAACACATCATTAGATGTATAGAGATGGAGGGGAGGAAATGGTAGAGATCGACTAGCAATGGCATCTTCAGTTAGTACTGATTCGTACGTCAACATCCTGTCTCACAACGCCTTGACGACATGACTCGTTCCATAGTGACGTCATATAGGCCAGTACATAAACAGGGGATAATCATGACGTCATCGCGTGATCCGGTAATTCGTGACGTCATGTCGTCACCTTTTCTCTGTTTGGATGTCATAGGCGAGTATCTGCGTCGTGACATCATGAAGGTGAAGGTAATCAAACCACAGGGGCAAGCGTGACATCATAGCCCCCCCCCCCCTCTGTCTACCATGACGTCATAACTCCCCCTCTGTCCACCATGACGTCATCTCCCCCCCCCCCTCTATCCACCAGGTGGGTACTACACCAGGCTGGTCCGACCAAAGCTCCGTCTGCTGGCCCTCTGTCCACCATGACGTCATTACCTCCCCCCCCCCTGTCCACCATGACGTCATCTCCCCCCTGTCCACCATGACGTCATTACCCCCCCCCCCCTGTCCACCATGACGTCATCTCCCCCCCCCCCCCCTCTGTCCACCAGGTGGCTACTACACCAAGCTGATCCGACCAAAGCTCCGTCTGCTGGCCCTCAACACCGTGCTATACATGGAGGGTGATCACGTGACCACCAACCTCACCGACCCCGCTGGTCAGTTCCAGTGGATCGACGCCGTGCTCGCGGGGTCAAGGTCAGCCGGGGAGAAGGTGAGTACACTTTTGTCATCCTCTCCCCCCCCCCCATCCCACTCATGGCCATGGACTCACCTGGTCGTTCGAGTGAGGGTAGGGGTGGGGAGATGATGGGATACACTGTTATGGTGGGGGTTGGGGGACGGGCTTTTTGGGTGGGGGTTGGGGGACGGGCTTTTTGGGTGGGGGTTGGGGGACGGGCTTTTTGGGTGGGGGTTGGGGGACGGGCTTTTTGGGTGGGGGTTGGGGGACGGGCTTTTTGGGTGGGGGTTGGGGGACGGGCTTTTTGGGTGGGGGTTGGGGGACGGGCTTTTTGGGTGGGGGTTGGGGGACGGGCTTTTTGGGTGGGGGTTGGGGGACGGGCTTTTTGGGTGGGGGTTGGGGGACGGGCTTTTTGGGTGGGGGTTGGGGGACGGGCTTTTTGGGTGGGGGTTGGGGGACGGGCTTTTTGGGTGGGGGTTGGGGGACGGGCTTTTTGGGTGGGGGTTGGGGGACGGGCTTTTTGGGTGGGGGTTGGGGGACGGGCTTTTTGGGTGGGGGTTGGGGGACGGGCTTTTTGGGTGGGGGTTGGGGGACGAGCTTTTTGGGTGGGGGTTGGGGGACGGGCTTTTTGGGTGGGGGTTGGGGGACGGGCTTTTTGGGTGGGGGTTGGGGGACGGGCTTTTTGGGTGGGGGTTGGGGGACGGGCTTTTTGGGTGGGGGTTGGGGGACGGGCTTTTTGGGTGGGGGTTGGGGGACGGGCTTTTTGGGTGGGGGTTGGGGGACGGGCTTTTTGGGTGGGGGTTGGGGGACGAGCTTTTTGGGTGGGGGTTGGGGGACGGGCTTTTTGGGTGGGGGTTGGGGGACGGGCTTTTTGGGTGGGGGTTGGGGGACGGGCTTTTTGGGTGGGGGTTGGGGGACGGGCTTTTTGGGTGGGGGTTGGGGGACGAGCTTTTTGTGTGGGGGTTGGGGGACGGGCTTTTTGGGTGGAGGTTGGGGGACGGGCTTTTTGGGTGGAGGTTGGGGGACGGGCTTTTTGGGTGGAGGTTGGGGGACGGGCTTTTTGGGTGGGGGTTGGGGGACGGGCTTTTTGGGTGGGGGTTGGGGGACGGGCTTTTTGGGTGGGGGTTGGGGACGGGCTTTTTGGGTGGAGGTTGGGGGACGGGCTTTTTGGGTGGGGGTTGGGGACGGGCTTTTTGGGTGGAGGTTGGGGGACGGGCTTTTTGGGTGGGGGTTGGGGGACGGGCTTTTTGGGTGGAGGTTGGGGGACGGGCTTTTAGGGTGGAGGTTAGGGGACGGGCTTTTTGGGTGGAGGTTGGGGGACGGGCTTTTTGGGTGGGGGTTGGGGGACGGGCTTTTTGGGTGGGGGTTGGGGGACGGGCTTTTTGGGTGGGGGTTGGGGACTGGCTTTTTGGGTGGAGGTTGGGGAATGGTCTGTTTGGGTGGAGGATGGGGACGGGCTTTTTGGGCGGGGGTTGGGGGATGGTATGTTTGGGTGAGGGTTGGTGACGGGATGGAGGTGCTTTGGACGTGTTCAGTATGGGATACTTAGATTTGATAGACACTGAGACCAGTGTAGAACGTCCTGAGTCGAAGCTTCGAGAAACATGTAAATTCTGGTCGAGCCAGCCAGCCATAAATTATGTTGCCAATAGCAACCTAATGTCTACATAAACAATCTTATCCATGCAGTTTTTTTTATAACTGCGCGTCTTGGTAATTAGGCTTGGTGTGTTTTAATTAGCTATACTAATAAAAAATAAACTTATTTTTCTAATTTGTAGCGGCGTCTAGTAATTATCTTAATAATAGTGAATTGATAAATACATTACATGTAGTGGCGTGTGAGTGTAAGAGATATTGAGAGAGATATTGAGAGAGATATTGAGAGAGATATTGAGAGAGAGATATTGAGATGGAGAGAGATAGACAGAGACAGGTACAGTGTTTACTTGAATTGGGTTAGCCGTTCCCTTTGTGTAGATGGGGAGGGAAGGTTGCCAACTGCATCTCTTGTATCCTTATTTGACGAATACGATCAGACACTGACAGATACTTTGCTGATCCGTTTCGCTGTGACACTGTCAGTGCCATGCCTTCCTGTGACACTGTCAGTGACATGCCCAATACTTACACTGATAATGACAGTGCCATGCCTTATTGTGACACTCAGTACAATGCCCAATATTTACACTGTCAGTGACAGTGCCATACCTTACTGTGACACTGACACTGACAGTGCCATACCTTACTGTGACACTGTCAGTGCCATGCCTTATTGTGACACTGTCAGTGAAAAGCCTTACTATGACACTGTCAGTGACAGTGCCATACCTTACTGTGACAACTGTTTCGCCATCAGGTCATCATCACCGGTCATGTTCCCCCAACCCTGGTGGTTCCTTCCCTATTGAACTGGTTCCAGCTCCGGTTCCACGCCCGCTTCATCAACCTGCTGACCAGCTACTCAGATATCATCCTGGCACACCACTACGGACACGACCACTCGGATTCCTTCAGAATACTGCAGAGGGACGATGGTGAGTACTCGACTGACTGTTGATGGTGGTGATCGTGGTGGTGATGGTGGTGGTGGTGGTGGTGGTGGTGAAGGTGGTGGTGGTGAGTACATCCTGACTGATGGTGGTGGTGGTGGTGATGGTGGGGATGGTGGTGATGGTGGTGGTGGTGGTGGTGAGTACATCATGACTGATGGTGGTGGTGGTGGTAGTGGTGATGGTGGTGGTGGTGGTGATGGTGGTGATGGTGGTGGTGGTGATGGTGGTGGTTGTGGTGGTGGTGGGGATGGTGGTGGTGGTGGTGATGGTGATGATGGTGGTGGTGGTGGTGGTGATGGTGGGGATGGTGGTGGTGGTGGTGGTGGTGATGGTGGTGGTGGTGGTGGTGATGGTGGGGATGGTGGTGATGGTGGTGGTGGTGGTGGTGAGTACATCATGACTGATGGTGGTGGTGGTGGTGATGGTGGGGATGGTGGTGGTGGTGGTGGTGATGGTGGTGGTGGTGGTGGTGGTGATGGTGGGGATGGTGGTGATGGTGGTGGTGGTGGTGATGGTGGTGGTGGTGGTGATGGTGGTGGTGGTGATGGTGGTGGTGGTGGTGGTGGTGGTGATGGTGGGGATGGTGGTGATGGTGGTGGTGGTGGTGATGGTGGTGGTGGTGGTGATGGTGGTGGTGGTGGTGAGTACTCCCTGACTGATGGTGTTGGTGGTGGTGATGGTGGTGGTGAATACTCCCTGACTGATGGTGGTGATTACTCCATGACTGGTAGTCAGTAGATCTTGACGAATCTACCTCAAGCCACACAAGTTCTGCGTGAAAAGTTTAGCTCTGGTTGTTTAACCTATAGCCGCCACTGTCTCATTAACCACAACCTCAACCTTAACCCTTTAACACGTTGCTCAGTACCTGCCTATGTACTTACTCATGTACCTGCCCATTTACCTAACACTATGTCCCCCCTCCTCAGGTATGGGAGCCACGCCCGTGTTCATCGCCCCCTCCATCACCCCCTGGAGGTACCGCATCCCCACGGAGACGGGCGAGCCCCACAACCCCGGCATCCGGCTGGTGGAGTACGACCGTGACACCGGCCGGCACCTCAACTACCGGCAGTTCTTCATCAACGTCACGGACAGCAACCGGCGCAACGCGACTCAGTGGGTAAGTGTCAAGGTCGTTAGGGTGGTGGGGGGGGGGGGGGGGGGTTGGAGTGTTAGGGAGGGGTTCGATGTTGTCAGTTTGTGGTTAGTTTTGTCATCACAATGTAGGGTTGAAACGATTATTTGAAAGTTAAAAAAAGGCGGCCATAACTTTCAAAAATACCCGTTCCTTACTCGGACAGCGGAAGTCTGGAATCAGCATGTATGGGAGTGGGGAGGGGGGGGGGGGGGCTGAAGTTGTAGGTGAGGACGTATATTAGTTTGTGCTGTTCTGTGGAAAGATTGCTTGTCCAGTGGTTAGATTAATTTTACTTCTAGAGATACTACAGTGCCCAGGGACTTACAAGTAGGGCGATATGGTGGGCGGGGCATAGAGGGGGGGGGGGGTTGTGGTGGGAGGGATGTAGTGGCGGAATAGTGAGATGGTTTGGGAGTGTGTGTGTGTGGGGGGGGGGGGGTTAGTTTGTGGTTTTGAGGGTGATACGTGTAATGTGGTATGTTCTAGAAGAAGACAAAATGTTATTTATAGAGAGGCACGTGACTCTGGATAGACATGTTGTCTATGTACCTGTCTATATATATATATATATATATATATATATATATATATATATATATATATATATATATATATATATATATATATATATATATATATATATATATATATATATATATATATACTTATGTCCCTACACATTACCTGCCCCTATGCCTGCCAATAAACCTGCCCAGGTATCTGCCCCGGTACCTGACTTTGCCACGTCATTCATTGCACCCCCACCCTCCTTCCCCACATCTTATTCTAAGAGCGTTAAAAGGTGGGTAGGGGAGGGTGTGGCCGTTGATTGCCTGTTGAATGTCAACCCTCACCACAGATATATCTCAGCCCTCCCTCAGGCTCAGCACTAAACGAATGTTCTAGAGAAAAGAATACAGCGAGTCTAAAATCTTATTGAAGACACAGTTTAAAGGATATAAAGCATTTCAAACAACCTGATTTGGACGAAAATCTTACCATGAAAAAATATAAGATAAAATTGATACACACATTAGAAATGGAAGATAGGTTTGTGACTGTACTTGTTCAACCAATATTTAGGTTAGTGCGCATGCGTGCTTGAGATGCAAGTCTATAAATATCGCTCTTATCAGATGAACTATTATTTAAATGGTGAGTTTTTTTTTTTTACGAAACACGCAGTTAGTGTAGCAAATGTGTGTATAACGGCGTTGTGGGGTCTGCTAAAATTGGTGTGTTCAGGGTATAATAACGACAATTCGATAGGGTGGTTTAAAAATAAGTACGTTCAGGACATAATAACGACAATTCTATGGGGGGGGGGGGGGGGTAAAAAGTATGTTCAGGATATAACAACGACAATTCTACGTGGGTGGTTTAAAATAGGTACGTTCAGGATATAATAACGACAAATCTATGTGGGTGGTTTAAAATAGGTGCGTTCAGGATATAAAACGACAGCTTGATAAGGTAATTTCAGTGGTTGCAGAGAACTTTTTTATCAGACGACAAAATCTTCTGCGTGTTGTCAAACTGTTTTAATAGCACCCGCCGGCTGACATTTGAAGCCACAGAGTCGGCTGTTTTATGCCGTCTGCTAATTGGTGTAGCGCGGGAGATCGAAGAAGCGAATCGATCTCATGTTTACCGCCGCAAAAAACATGAAGAAATAAAATACCGTCGCGAAAATAGTCGCTCATAATAAACACGCGAAAATAGTCAAATGTAATTTTAAAGATAGTCGCACATAATTACATTTAAAATAGGCGCACATAATTACATTTAAGATAGGCGCACATAATAACATTAAAAATAGTTGCAACAACAACATAAAAATTATTCTTGAGATTATTTTAAAAACATTTTAACAATTTAAAGCATACAGATGAAACAATGATGTTTTCATGTATTATCTCCCATCAATAGTAATAGCATAAACGTTGCTGATTATGTAACAGTTATTTTCAACCCAAATAATTAACTAATAGTTCATATCACCATACAACAATACCAACACAACAAGTGAAACCCCCCCCCCCCCCCTTTTCCTGCATACAGATGATTGCCATCATCGTAGAGTGGAAGATTTGTTGTCGTATTTTCTTCATCACTAACAAATTCCAGGAAAGGATTAGGTTTGAACGTCAAAGCCCAGGGTCCAACTGTATCGAATCTTGAATGAAACTTGCATGAAGCAGGAATAAAAAAATCAAATAGAATACTTTATTTGTACTCTACTTTACCGAAGTCCCAAATAAGTTTTGTGTAAAAAAATGTAATTGTTCATATAATTTTTTATATTTTTAACATTGTTACCTTTATTGTTATTGTTCTATAAGTTGTACATAAATAAAAAAAAAATGACCTAATTTCTCTAGGAGGAGCTGTACAACTTCCAGACGGCATTCGGAGTTCCAGACATGAGCTTAGGGTCACTGAAGGCCATCTACAAGAGCATGGACACAGTGGACAGCAGCCACATGAAGCAGTGCTGCAACTACCTACTGGTCACTAACTTGACCCAAGACTGCACGGACGCTGTGCAAGCTGGCATATGGTGCGGTGGCCAGATGCAAGAGGAAAGCGCGGCCAAAATTTGCGTCAACGAGTACGTGCACAAAAAGAAGAGGACTCTGTTTTTGGCTGACTGGGTCGACAGATTGTTGGCTCAAATTGTTCAGTTGTTTTCGAACTTTTGGTCGAAAGATAATTAACATGTTATTTTATTGTTTTGTAATTTTTGGTCGAAAGATTATTAACATGTTATTTTATTGTTCGGTAATAAAAAATAAACATTAAAACAAAAAAAAAATATGTTCTCATAGTTGGTTTATTAAAATTTGTTTATTATTTAAAAAAAAATGGAAGAGTTTTATTTTTTCTTTGGAGATTGTTACTGGAAAAGTTTACAGGAAGGCCAGACTCAACAATAGGATGGAGCACCCGCAAGCAGCTGTATGTTGCTGCTGTAGGTTGCAGCTGTATGTTGGAGCTGTATGTTGCAGCTGTATGTTGCAGCTGTATGTTGCAGCTGTATGTTGCAGCTGTATGTTGTTGATTTAACACGCAGCTGTATGTTGCAGTTGTATGTTGCAGCTGTATGTTGTTGATGTAACACGCAGCTGTATGTTGCAGCTGTATGTTGCAGCCTGTATGTTGCAGCTGTATGTTGCAGCCTGTATGTTGCAGCTGTATGTTGCAGCCTGTATGTTGCAGCTGTATGTTGTTGATGTAGATCGCTGGATACCCAGGGTCCAGTCCTTTATGGTTTAGGGTTAAACCACGGAGCTAGGGGTTCACAGAGCTTTGGGTTCACAGAGCTAGGGGTTCACAGAGCTAGGGGGTTCACAGAGCTAGGGGTTCACAGAGCTAGGGGTTCACAGAGCTAGGGGGTTCACAGAGCTAGGGGGTTCACAGAGCTAGGGGGTTCACAGAGCTAGGGGGTTCACAGAGCTAGGGGTTCACAGAGCTAGGGGTTCACAGAGCTAGGGGTTCACAGAGCTAGGGGGTTCACGGAGCTAGGGGTTCACGGAGCTAGGGGTTCACAGAGCTAAGGGGTTCACAGAGATAAGGGGTTCACAGAGCTAAGGGGTTCACAGAGCTAGGGGGTTCACAGAGCTAGGGGTTCACAGAGCTAGGGGTTCACAGAGCTAAGGGTTCACAGAGCTAGGGGTTCAAGGAGCTAGGGGTTCACAGAGCTAGGGGTTCAAGGAGCTAGGGGTTTACAGAGCTAATGGTTTACAGAGCTAGGGATTCACAGAGCTAAGGGTTTACAGAGCTAGGGGTTCACAGAGCTAAGGGTTCACAGAGCTAGGGGTTCAAGGAGCTAGGGGTTCACAGAGCTAGGGGTTCAAGGAGCTAGGGGTTTACAGAGCTAAGGGTTTACAGAGCTAGGGGTTCACAGAGCTGGGGGTTCACAGAGCTTGGGGTTCACGGTGCTGGGGTTCACAGAGCTAGGGGTTCATAGAGCTAGGGGTTCACGGAGCTAGGGGTTCACAGAGCTAGGGGGTTCACAGAGCTAGGGGGTTCACAGAGCTAGGGGGTTCACAGAGCTAGGGGGTTCACAGAGCTAGGGGTTCACAGAGCTAGGGGTTCACAGAGCTAGGGGTTCACAGAGCTAGGGGGTTCACGGAGCTAGGGGTTCACGGAGCTAGGGGTTCACAGAGCTAACGGGTTCACAGAGATAAGGGGTTCACAGAGCTAAGGGGTTCACATAGCTAGGGGGTTCACAGAGCTAGGGGTTCACAGAGCTAGGGGTTCACAGAGCTAAGGGTTCACAGAGCTAGGGGTTCAAGGAGCTAGGGGTTCACAGAGCTAGGGGTTCACAGAGCTAGGGGTTCAAGGAGCTAGGGGTTTACAGAGCTAAGGGTTTACAGAGCTAGGGGTTCACAGAGCTAAGGGTTTACAGAGCTAGGGGTTCACAGAGCTAAGGGTTCACAGAGCTAGCGGTTCAAGGAGCTAGGGGTTCACAGAGCTAGGGGTTCAAGGAGCTAGGGGTTTACAGAGCTAAGGGTTTACAGAGCTAGGGGTTCACAGAGCTGGGGGTTCACAGAGCTTGGGGTTCACGGTGCTGGGGTTCACAGAGCTAGGGGTTCATAGAGCTAGGGGTTCACGGAGCTAGGGGTTCACAGAGCTAGGGGGTTCACGGAGCTAGGGGTTCACAGAGCTAGGGGGTTCACGGAGCTAGGGGTTCACGGAGCTAGGGGTTCACAGAGCTAGGGGGTTCACAGAGCTAAGGGGTTCACAGAGCTTTGGGGTTCACAGAGCTAGGGGGTTCACAGAGCTAGGGGTTCACAGAGCTAGGGGTTCACAGAGCTAGGGGTTAACAGAGCTAAGGGTTCACAGAGCTAGGGCTTCAAGGAGCTAGGGGTTCACAGAGCTAGGGGTTCAAGGAGCTAGGGGTTTACAGAGCTAATGGTTTACAGAGCTAGGGGTTCACAGAGCTAGGGGTTCACAGAGCTAGGGGTTCACAGAGCTAGGGGTTCACAGAGCTAGGGGTTCAAGGAGCTAGGGGTTTACAGAGCTAGGGGTTCACAAAGCAAGGGGATCAGATCACGGAGTCACTTCATTACAAACACCTGATAACGTGCACAACATAAAAAAACACCTCATTATTAACACCATATAACAAACACCACATAACATCACATCAACAAAAAATCTTTCGATTTCGTTTTGTCATTAATCTTTATCTAACTTTTCAAATTATTTAAAGTAAAAATAAATTTACTCCGCAAACCTATACACCCAACTGTCTTCAAGTTGTTGTATCTTATAAAAATTATAAAATATGAAGCATGCACATGTTAATTACACATTGTGTCAGCACATGTCAGCAGTCAGTGTGTCAGGTGTAGCATGGACACACTGTGTCAGACACATCATGGACACACTGTGTCAGACACATCATGGACACACTGTGTCAGACACATCATGGACACACTGTGTCAGACACATCATGGACACACTGTGTCAGACACATCATGGACACACTGTGTCAGACACATCATGGACACACTGTGTCAGACACATCATGGACACACTGTGTCAGACACATCATGGACACACTGTGTCAGACACATCATGGACACACTGTGTTAGACACATCATGGACACACTGTGTCAGACACATCATGGACACACTGTGTCAGACACATCATGGACACACTGTGTCAGACACATCATGGACACACTGTGTCAGAAACATCATGGACACACTGTGTCAGACACATCATGGACACACTGTGTCAGACACATCATGGACACACTGTGTCAGACACATCATGGACACACTGTGTCAGACACATCATGGACACACTGTGTTAGACACATCATGTACACACTGTGTCAGACACATCATGGACACACTGTGTCAGACACATCATGGACACACTGTGTCAGACACATCATGGACACACTGTGTCAGACACATCATGGACACACTGTGTCAGACACATCATGGACACACTGTGTCAGACACATCATGGACACACTGTGTCAGACACATCATGGACACACTGTGTCAGACACATCATGGACACACTGTGTCAGACACATCATGGACACACTGTGTTAGACACATCATGGACACACTGTGTCAGACACATCATGGACACACTGTGTCAGACACATCATGGACACACTGTGTCAGACACATCATGGACACACTGTGTCAGAAACATCATGGACACACTGTGTCAGACACATCATGGACACACTGTGTCAGACACATCATGGACACACTGTGTCAGACCCATCATGGACACACTGTGTTAGACACATCATGTACACACTGTGTCAGACACATCATGGACACACTGTGTCAGACACATCATGGACACACTGTGTCAGACACATCATGGACACACTGTGTTAGACACATCATGGACACACTGTGTCAGACACATCATGGACACACTGTGTCAGACACATCATGGACACACTGTGTCAGACACATCATGTACACACTGTGTCAGACACATCATGGACACACTGTGTCAGACACATCATGGACACACTGTGTCAGACACATCATGGACACACTGTGTCAGACACATCATGGACACACTGTGTCAGACACATCATGGACACACTGTGTCAGACACATCATGGACACACTGTGTCAGAAACATCATGGACACACTGTGTCAGACACATCATGGACACACTGTGTCAGAAACATCATGGACACACTGTGTCAGAAACATCATGGACACACTGTGTCAGAAACATCATGGACACACTGTGTCAGAAACATCATGGACACACTGTGTCAGACACATCATGGACACACTGTGTCAGACACATCATGGACACACTGTGTCAGACACATCATGGACACACTGTGTCAGACACATCATGGACACACTGTGTCAGACACATCATGGACACACTGTGTCAGACACATCATGGACACACTGTGTCAGACACATCATGGACACACTGTGTCAGTCACATCATGGACACACTGTGTCAGACACATCATGGACACACTGTGTCAGACACATCATGGACACACTGTGTCAGACACATCATGGACACACTGTGTCAGACACATCATGGACACACTGTGTCAGAAACATCATGGACACACTGTGTCAGAAACATCATGGACACACTGTGTCAGACACATCATGGACACACTGTGTCAGACACATCATGGACACACTGTGTCAGACACATCATGGACACACTGTGTCAGACACACCCAGTGCCGGCGCCAGTTTATTTAGCGCCCTAGGCAAAACTTATTAAAACGCCCCCTTTCACACAAATTAATTACTAACACATGTACAAGAAAACAATTAATTAAATGTGACATATTAATTAAGTTAAAAGTAGTAAGTAAAGTAAAGTCCTCTTTTCAAATCTGATGGTCTATGGGACAAGTGAAGTAGAGTTCACTTGTTTATGTGACCTCGGCATATGAAGAGATAGTGTGGTCAGCACTATGCCCAGCCGCCTTTACTTTCCCTAACGTGAGTTGGGTACCCATTAGAGTTGGGTGGAATCAGGGAAGGTCTACTGACTGGAACCCGGATTCGAACTCGAGACTTACGGGTTAGCAGTCCGGCTCTCTACCGCTAGAACACTCCGTCCCCGTTATAAGCAGACATCGAAATCAAATTTTACTCTACCCCTTCATCACAAGTTTGCACTAATTCCTTCGATTCCAGTTTTCAAGCGTAATCACATTCTATTGAAATTGTTGCCAAGTCCACGAGTCCCCCCCCCCTCCCAGGAGAAAAAGTCTGAAAAAAAAACCACTGAAAAAACCCCACATTTCGTGTAGT